TCCCCAATGATGTGGTTTGAAACCTCTTGAGTCAGTCAGTTTCCCATGCACTCTACCTGTGAACGTGTAAGCATTAAACTGATACAGGATCTACTGAAGGGGACTAGAGAAATGTTGATAAGACACAAAATTTATAAAATAAAAATGCTGATGGAGGAACACACCGAGGTTATCGCAGAGCGGATCAAGCGATTTAGGATTATCAATTGCCTTAACAACAGATTCCAAAACCTTAACTAAGATTTTATTAGACAATTTTCCATAACTAAACCTATTTGCACAAAAGCCTAACTCTCTACCTGCATGAATCTCAAAGCGTGAAATTCCATCTCCCTTGATCGTTTATTGTCAGCAATTGTTCTAATCTTCATAAAGGGAAAGAGCTGCAAAAAATATTATTGCCTGAGATCTACCCAAACTAGGCAGAAATCCACCTGTTTAGTATCTGGACTCTGACAGAATATCATATCAAATATACAGTACGCAGTGTCGTTTATATTCTTGTCAAGCACGGACCAACTTCGTTTCAATAGTTCCTTATCTTCGCAACTGATTTTATCCAACAAATCCATCTAAATATGCTATTTGCCATTGGAGCATACATTTTTGTTTGACTTTGTTGCACATCAAGCAGGAAGAAAATAATTGGGTTTTCATTATTCAAAGAAGATCGGAAACCAGAACTGGCAACAATGCATTGACAAACGCCACAGCAATATGCATGGAAGCATTTGTAATTACCCGAGCAACTAATCCCGATCCCCTCTTCCTTGCAATTACTATTGCTTTTGTTGACAAAACACTGAAGGATGTGAAAAACATGTCGCAAGACTGCAAAAATTTATTCGCGGAAAGCAGTGGATTCATAATAATGCTTTGCAACACATCCTTGCTTCGCGCACGCATGAGGTGCTAGTATTTGGAAAAAACAGGCCTTTAAATAGCATGCTTTTTTCAAAAAAAAGTCTTGTCGCAACACTAATGACTAGGTTTTTCTTCTTTTTCTATTGAAAAGACTTTTGTGTATAAGAGAATTATGGAAACGAGTAAAGATAGAGCTGATGCAAATTCTTACTGATATTTATCGCGAGAATAATTAATACCTTAAAGTGTAAATTTGTGATACACACGACCTCTAGCTATTGGAAAGGACATGATACAGCTATTTAATAAAGGAAATAATTATCGTCTTAGAAATAAAGGTGATAAGCATGCAAACTGTTTATATCGAGAAAATAAATCAATCCAGAAAAAGATGGACAATTATAGACGTACGAAGTAGGTTTTCACTGCAAAGTATAAAATATTTACAGGTGCACACTTTGCACTTGACTACGGTACATTGGAATATTTTTTTTCAAGGAATAAAATGATGTTACGTTTGAAAGATTATCCAGTTACTTTTCATATTCAGATCTCAAAAGGTAAAAGAGATAAGAGTGATGAAAAATCCATTGATCATGCATAGCAAACGCAAACATTTCTCACGTTATAGTTAGCTAAAGACCAAAACTTGTTTCCCAGGTAGTTTGCAATTGAGAAAAGCGTGGAATCAACTTTCGACGTCATCAGATACAAAATTAAGGAGAATGTAGATAAATAACCAACACAAAAATTTGTGGTAACGTGGGCATGGAAAGAAAGCTAGACAATATAGCCTATCTTAGTGTTAAGTCATTCTGAGTTTAGGCAAGAATAAGCTAAAAGAACAAAAAAGAAAGTTTCTAGCTTTAACACGAGTTCTTAAACAGCTTGTTTGTAACAAGTTCCTGAAATCTGTCTTTGCAGAAAACCTCTATCAAGAATTCATTTGAACATTTTTCCTTGAAATAAGTTCTCTAATCTAATCTTACCTTCACATTATTGGAAAAACCTCCTGCTTCATTACGAACTTCAATTTCCATTG